CTAAAACTCTAAACTCTAAAAAAAAAAAAAAAACTCTAAAAAGCGTCATCAGGTTGGAATGCTGGACAGTTGGCATTGGCGGGAAACTCACTTCTTCCACATGCACAGAGAGACAGTCAGGACAGCTTCTAATAACAATCCTCCAGCACATAATGATTCCCCTCCCAAATACCATGCCCCCCCTCCCCGTTTCAATGGCAGCAGAAGCAGCAGCGAAGCAGAGGCTGACAGCAGTACTGCAGGTTACTTCAGCTGACTGCTAGCTGCAGTTCGGCAGTTCAAATCTCACTGGCTCAAGGTTAACTCAGCTTAAAATGAGGATCCAGATTGTTGGGGACAATAGGCTGACTCTGTAAACCGCTTAGAGGGGGCTGTAAAGCACTATGAAGCAGTATATAAGTCTAAAGTGCTATTGCTAATACAGGTAGTTGTAACTTAGCACAAACCATGTACTGGAGTGTTACAGTGCAATGGATCCACAATTATAGGAAATAGCATATGTAACATGATTTATATTAAAAATGGAGTCCAAACATACACTGGAACATTTATGGCACTATTGGTATATTGTGCTAAATCTAACTGAATAGAAATGGAGCAGGTTGGAGGTTAGATATTTATATTAGCTTTATCCAACCTGGCACTTCCAGATGTATTTCCCACTAGCTGAGAAAATTCTGGTAATTGCAATTATCAGAATGAGAGGGTGCTGCCAAGTATGAAAGATTTATTTGGACTTTCAAGTTCACATTAATACTTGCTACAAAATATGTTCTGAAGAATACCGTAATTTACTCACTTTGACACAAGCTGCTTCTGCTGCCATAAGCATTTGAAGAACTCCCTGGAAGAGATTTTGAGCATTGCTTACAAGGTGTTCTACAGACGACCTACTGCTACCTGTTGATGCAATTACCCTTGGAAGTAATAAGAGAAAACATTATGTAACACCTAAAGGAGAAAAAGGTGTAACAAGAAAAATGGATTCAGTTATAGGAATCTTAACAGTTAATACTTTCACTTCTAGGCACATATCTTTTGAGTTTGTTAGGGCAAACTTTTTTTATTCTTTTAGTAATAAACCTTGGTTGAACAGAAGACCCAGCTAACTGCTTCCAAATAATAGAAAACTGTGCAGACGTTCTGAAGTTCCTATGTTTTCCAAACCTCCTTTTCTCAGGTACTAAGAAGATCACAACATCAGTAGTTATTCAACACTAAACAACAATTAAAACATTCTAATGAGGATTGAGTGTGCTCAGCTATGCTCATCTGATTGGGGCTGGGGCACAGAATAAAGAAAATGGAATTTGCTAGAAATAGGCTGACTGGTTAGAAACTTTTTCTGCAGGTTTCACATTGGATTATTTTGTTGAAGAGTTCACTTTTTATGAGATGACTTTAAATTTGATCATGAATTGGAAACTGAAATCAATGGGATCTATGTAAAATTATGTCTAATTTAAGCTCATTCATTTCATTTTAGCTATTCTAAGTCATTTATAAATATAACTATGATATCAATTTGAACCCAAATTTAGTTGAACTAAAAGGCTACATACCGGCAATCCTTGACTTACAACCACAGGTGGGACTGAAATTTCTGTCAATAATCAATGTGCCCATAAAACACAATATTACGTGTCTGCATCACTTAGCAACCACAATTCCAGCACACCCCATTGTTAACCAAATTCCACCAGTCATTAGTCAAGTACCTACCTATGCCAAGCTTGGTTTCAAGCTTGGTTTCTCCTTGCCTTGCCTTCACCAAGCCTTGGGGAAGTCTGGGTCTCGGGACCACACCTAATTCAACTCTTTTTTATCTGTCTCCCCCACCCAGATCTGCCCTTTTGGTCACCTTGCATCTTGCCTTGTGGTGTGGCAAGTAGCTCCAGAACAGGTGGGGCTTCTTAGTGCACTGCAGTTCAAAGGCTCCAAGAAGCTCCTGAGCTGGAGTGCAGCATGAAGTACCAATCACTCTAGGAAGCTACAGCATAACAATGTGAAACTGCAGCCCAGCAGCACACTGTCACAGACCAGAAGTGCAACCTTCTCAGGAAGCCCCAGCAGCACAGCACAAAGCTGCAGCCCAGCAACTCAGCACATCATCTCAGCTGGGCGAGATCATTCGGCGGCACGGGATAAAATACCACCAGTATGCGGACGATTCTCAGTTGTGTCTGTCCGCCCAGTGCCAACTCAATGAAGCGGTGGACGTGATGAACCAGGGACTGGAAGCCGTTAGG